AGTAGAATAGCCCAAGTAGACCTATTCAGTGTGAAAGGTGTAAGAACTGGGGGGGGGGGGGGGGGGTCGGGCGGGGAAAGATGCAGTGATACTAAAAATCTGCGAATCTTGAACAGAAAGCTAAAATATAGAGATCTAATTTACTGTCACCAATCCAATGAAACGCGAACCCTTAGGCCCCAAGTTCCATAACACACTTACAAGTTATGACAGTTCCCGATTTCACACAAGACCTGCACCAACGCACACTTTACTTTGTAGAGAGCTGTGGTAGTACTACAGTAGTAATCCAAATTCTAAACATTAAACATTTGCTTCCAGTATGTTTTTTTGTCCTCTGGTGTTGCGTCCAGCCCTATCCCTGAGTGCGTCTTTTTTTTAAAATCAATAATCTCCCCCCATTCCAGAGTCCTGTACTTCGCAGCGCTCAGAACGCGCGTAGGTTCATTGACCGGTCACAATGACGAGCCCGACAAGAATCTGCAACTTTTTTTTTTTTTGTTTTTTTTTTGTTGCCCCCACAAGTGACGACACAGTGACAAATATTGATTTATTTCATGGCGACACCACGTTTGTAATGCCGAACCTGCATGTTACAATAATTGTTGGGTTATCAGACAATTACTGACAAATTTCTGGGGGGTAACGAAAGCGAAAGAAGATCTTGATTTTCCAGTCAGTCGAGCCATGGTGACACAATTCCGCTTGCCGCCAAAGCCGCTAGTTCGCGTGAAGCGTACTCTCAGAGACGAATTAATATCACAATCGCGACCGGCAGAAATGAACTTAAAGACGTTATTGGATTTGGTTTCCAAATATTCGAGATCTTTTATGTATTTACCCGGGTCTCTGCGATTTTTTAAAAATTCCCAGGGCCTGGCAGTCACCCTGCTTCCAACAACTCTCTTTCTGATTGGCCCGCTGTCGCGGTAGCGGAGTTTAGCGGAGGAAATGGCGGTAGGGGAAATCCGCTAAATAGCGGAATATTGAGACCCATGGTCGGGCAGGTAGAATGGCTGCTTAAAATCTGCAGGACCGGGGAAGTCATTATCTTTGAGTATTCTCTTAATGCTGGCATCCATCGATGACACTGGCACAGGCTATTAATCCGCTCTAGGACAGCTAAGCCTATTGTTATTAATTGTCATTGTGTACCTAATTATAATCACTGGAGAGAGAGAGAGAGAGAGAGAGAGAGAGAGAGAGAGAGAGAGAGAGAGAGAGAGAGAGAGAGAGAGAGAGAGGAGAGGGAGAGAGAGAGGAGAGGGAGAGGGAGAGAGAGAGAGAGGGGGGGAGAGGGAGAGGGAGAGGGGGAGAGGGAGAGGGAGAGGGCGAGAGAGAGAGAGAGAGAGAGAGAGAGAGAGAGAGAGAGAGAGAGACAACTACTACTGCTGCTGCTAGGCCTAGACCTTTAGACTATCACTTCCTTGCTTTAGATCTAGTCTAAACTGGGTCATGGCGACAGTTTCATACCCGGTGTGAGAACAAGGAAGTGATTGCAATGGAATTTTTTAGCCATGTAAGCGAATCAGATCTGACTGGAGGGAAAAGCTCAACACAGATGTCCTGTCCATGTTGATGCACATCGGCATGGAAGGGCTAGGTACTATGGACTACAATGCGACGCTAGATATTATGGACTACAATGCGACACTTGCCTTAGAAAGGTGGTGGCAAAGTGGTGACAGAGCTAGGAGAGTATAAAACAGACATAAACACATCATGAAGACAGGGAACGTTTTGGAATTTGTGTTTGGCCATAATATTCATGAGATAATTAAAAAGAAAAGTATAAAAATAAAGTATTCAATGTTAAAGCAGATTACATGTACTAGCATATCAACACATGATTTTATTATTTTATATCATGTATCAGTACTATTTGCAAATTTTCCCTTTCTTGATATTTAGATCTAGACAGTCTAACGGTTTTCATGTTTGGAAATGGGCAAGTTGACTTTCCTTCTCGGCAAGTAGATGGTTATAATGTCGGTTGCCCGACAGGGCATGTGGGAAAAAAGTAACGCTCACCCAGGCATCCACATTATTTACTCAAAGGGTTTCAGTTACAGAAAAAATGTATACTTTTCAGGATGCAAAAACAAAATAATAACAATAATGATAATTTGTCCATATTTTTCTGACAATGACCAGTCCATCTGCTGAGGATAGCATTTCTTAAGGGGAAATAGAAGAAATAAGGGCCAAAATGACTTGTGGCTCCTGATATGGCCTGTGAGAAAAAGTCTGGAAGAGAAGAGTTTGCCACATTTTGGCCATTTAAAAGCTTCATGTCCACTCATGGAGATGCACTGCTTACAGGCTTTTCTCGTGGCTTCAGCATAATAACAAAGTATACAACCCTAAATAACTAGAGATGATTATACTGCTAAAACTGTACTGAGCTGCCTGTGAGCTCATTACAATACATATAAATACATGTCAAACAGCTTGGCTTGTAAGTCTTAGTTATAATGTCAGAGCAGAAAGACCTACTAAAAATCAAGAACTAAAGTCAACAAAACAATACTGAAGCTGTATTAGACTTTCAAACCACTTGGACGGCAAAAGGAAGTAGGAAAATAAATAGAGAATAAACCACTAGTAGTTTCAGGCCTATAAGCAGTACAAAATGTTAGCCACACTGTGACTCCCACATCTTATCAAGAGACAGCTCCCCATAATAACAGAAATAAAAGTTGCAAACTTTAAACAGACAGTTCACCCATATCGCTACATTTGAATGGCCCAATGGAACAAAAAACTGATAAAACAATTCCAGTAAAAGATGCAGACACAAGAAAAGGAGATTCCTGATGCTGTCAAAAAGATACAGAGCGAGTTTTGGGCGAGAGAGTCCGAAACCAGGATGGAGATAAGTGAAAAACTTTTTTTAACGTTAGTTTGATTCATAGTGGGTTTTGCCACAGAGCCCTAAATTTGCATAAAGCATACAAAACATCATAATATATGCACCAGGCCTGCTGACAAAATGAGTTATTTGTCGCTATCCATGAATGGAGATATTGGTAAACAATCAACAAAGCAATTTGTAGATTTTCTACTGATGCCACTTTCAGCAAGTTAAATATAATGTCTTTCATCATTTCATACTAATGAATTGTACAAACTCAAACCATATATTTTACTTCTATTTCCATACAACTAAAATCAGCGAAGTAAGTAAGTTCGTCAGCACCCCTCACATCAACTTGTTATTTATTTCTTCTGCTTCATGAACTTTACATATTATGAGTATTCGATTTTGAAAGAGCAAAAAGATTGATAACTTGAAGCGAACTTTCTGCTTGTGACCACCTAGGCATTCTATCAGACACCAGCAGTTATTAATTCTTAAAAAGCTTCGGAATGAACATTATATAGTGTTTCACCTCACATGTCTGAAAATACTGTGAACAAAGGAGAGCCTTGGAAGAACGAAATGATAAAAGGCGGCACTTATGGAAATAATGACATGATGACAGATACATCATAAATAGGTACTCAAACAATTGAGGACATTTGGAAATTCTCACACACAGACACTCAAAGGGGAGGGGAAGTCAGGAAAAATCTCATACAGACACTCAGTAACTAAAGGATGTCTGGAAAGTCTCATAATAAGAAATTAAAGCATATGAAAATATTTAGACAATTACACAATTCATTATATTTTATGGAATTGTGTAATTGTCTAAATATTTTCATTGACAATAAAAAGGCTTGCTGTAAGGAGTCACTCAGACTGAAATTACAGAAATATTAAAGAGGCCAAGTCCCACTTTAGTCGGGAAAAAAGATAAGACAAATCTTCGCACTTCCAAAATGGCTTGAACCCCCCCAGGAAAAAGTCACACAGCTAGCATAGAGATCGAGACTGGCTGAGTAAAGATTAAAATGTTACAAAAACGTGTTGTGTTAGCACATTCATCTGTTCACCTTTGGATCAAAGCAATTCATTAAAGGATGTTATAAGAATATGACATTAACTTTTGCTTCATTCCTAAATTCAAATAAATCAAAATCTATCTAAAAATGTAATGCAGATTTAGCAGTTCCAATCTGTGCTCCAATAACTGTTCATGAATGTCTCTCCTGTAGGGAGTTCCACATTGTACAAAAACAGTTAAAGATTATTTGATCCAACATTTACAAACATAATAAGATAACTTCACCCTTTAAAAAAAATTATATTAGCTTTAGAAACAGCAATACAAACAACCATATTCAACAGCTAAACTTATACTTGCATTTGCCCAAAGAATCTTTAAAGTCAGATTTTTAAATTACTTTTTTAGTAGAGGTTTTACGGCACTCGCAACTGCATACGGTCATATGAGTGCCAAGGGGTGAATGTCAACAGAGAAGTCCTTACAGGGAATTGGGCTTACTCTGCTCACCTCTCTAGGTTCAACAGCACAAAGTCTACTTTGGCTATCAAGGCACCCTGGAAATAGTGGGTCACAAGAGAGTGACAAACATACAAAAGAAGTAGAGGAAAATGACAATAGTAAGGATGAGGAAAGAAAAAGCAGCAATTCTCTGTTGCAATTCCGGCACAGTCATGAGCATGACATTGATGAATCAGCTCATTTAAAACTCTACTGAGCAACAGAACATTGTAATGTCCCCACTTTGGGAATGGCTTAAAGACACTTCAATCAGTAGCACAGCCCCTAGGGGGGGTCCAAAGTCAGATTTACAAAGACACAATGACATCGACATATTATATAAACTATAGCATGATGAATTCAGGAACAGGAATATTGATTGTTTGCTCATATTAAGGAACATATTCATTAAACTTGGAAGCTGGCACTTCAACTAAATTACAAGCTACATTAGATGAAAAGTCACACACCAGAACCAATAATATATGTCTCCTCCAAAGCTGTAACATCCTTAATATCTCAATGAAAACACTGAATACATTATAGAAAATTGATTCCATAACATTTTAATGGATATGTTTAACTTATATACGTTTGTTATATTGTTTCTTTTTTTTTTTAACAATCAAAACACTTTTAAGTTCTGAAACACAAAATATCTCCATATCTCAACAAACCAAAAGCTGGAAACAGTTGAAAATGTCATCCCCGTCCCCAAAAACATAACCAACAATATACTCCATCAGGCAGTCCAAAAATCCAGTCTGACATTCCAATTAAGTGTATTATGGGTAGGTCTAAATATGACCATGAAACTTACGAAGGCAAATGAAAAACAAAAAGCTAAATTTATATAAAAACATTTAAGACCCTGAAAACCAGAAACATGAAAACCCCAAATGTCATTTTGAATATTTACGGCAAATAAATATGATACAACAAAGGATTACAGATGAGGCTGCAATGAAATTAGGTAAAAATAACCAAGCCTGATTCTGATACTAAAACTTTGCCGCTACATAAATAAGAGGAAAAAAAGACCAAAGGTTAATAGGTGGCATTTTAGAGTCCCAGATAACACTAGTGTAATGATTGTGTTTGTGTACAGAAGGAAGGAGAAGCCAAGCCTCAGTGAACTAATATGCAGGGTGTACAGACAGACAAAGAGCAGTTGGTGAGTCAGTGCAGAGACATGGTTGGCTTCTTTCACTATTAAAGAAGACTCATTATTCCACTACTCTTTAATTTTTGCTGTCCCTGTTGGCACAAACATTTTTTAATGTAAAAGTGTTGCAGATCCCATTGAAGAAAAAAAAGTTGCTGATTTGAGGGAATTTTTGGTATGCAGTTCGGGGAAGGGGGGGACTACAGGTTTCTCAGTGTCTATTATGTTGGTACCAGAGACGTACCACTGTATTGAGTGCAGTCAAGACGCACATCACAATACGGAAGCCATGTTCATTCAGCCATCAGAATAACATCAATAACAAAGACAATAGAAGGCAGTGTCCGGAGCCAGAGAGAAAGAATCCCTGCAATAAGCACCCTTACACATGTGTATGGTAAATTGTAAACTCCCCAAAAAATGTAAATGACAGGCTGGAGAGAACCCAATAACAATAGTTTTTCTAAAATCCATAGACATTAGAACTGATCTGACAGAATTTAATTTCAGCAACAATGAGAGGCTGTAAAGAAAGACTTTTTGTGGCCACTTCAATTTATATACTTACTGCTAAACATAGCACAAGGACAGAATTCTTACTTTGCCATGCACGTATAAAGCAAGTCCTTAATTCATTCTTTTTTAAAGAATATACATTGCAAATAATGCTCTACACAATGGAATGAACAAATGTAATATGAGCACAGTGCGTCATGACTCTTCAGAGTTTGATGAGGGAGTGGCTATGGAGCGATGGGACATTATCTCGTCCCCTTGATACCCATTCCTTTCTACATTTTGAACTTGACCATTCGACAGACCAGAGTTCCCAATTTGTGAGAAGCTCATGACCTTTTTGAGGCTCTGCAACCCAGATTTATTCTCCGTGTACCGAGCCCAGATGTAGCCGATGCCGCCAGACAGGTTCATGCTGATCCCAACGAAAGTAGCCATATTGTGAGATACGCCTCCAAATGTCACCAAGCCAAGAAGAGTCTGAACGAGTGCCTTCAGGCCACCGACGACACTAGTGGTCAAGGCGCTGGTCAAACTGGTACAGAGGAACAGAGAGTAATTCAGCAGCATGCCCACGCTGATGGCCATGAAGAACATTAACAGAAACTGAAGTTCTGTCAATTTGGGATAACTATGCACCGCGAACAGTTCCCCGTTAACCAGCGCTACAAGTGTTAGCAAAGGCAAAGTGTTGAAGCTGTTGAGCTGAAGCGTCTCCACCACAGATACATGACGCTCCGAGAACTTCTGCACCAGCAGGAGGTACAGGGCCTGCGTGAAGTTGCTGCCAATGCCACAGATATAGGCAGTCAAGTTGAAGCCAAGGTCACCATAACCTTCATGATGGAAGAAGAGAAAAGATCACTACCAGTACAAGAAATTTTAAAAAAATTCTTTTAAATATTTTCATAATAATAATAGTATTAATAATAATAATAATAATAAAAATAATAATAATAATTATGTATTAATGATGATGACGATGATGACGATGATATTAAAAAATCACTTCTATAGTGCCCACTCCCTGGTGGCTCTAGTCCCTTCACAATATTATACAATTTCAGCAACTTACACGATGATACGTTTCATGCATGCTGGTCCATTCAAATTTTAACAACCCTTTTAAATACATAATATATGCATAAACAGCAAGTAATAAGTGTTCAGGGCCTGTGCTTCTGGTTTATACAAAAAAATAATTATTGTTACTCTATGTTTTCTATTAACATGAATAGGTGTGAGGCATGGACAACAATGAAGTTTACTTAGAAGAACCAATTTGTTAAAATTCTGCCAGACAAAAAGTCCTCACACCCCCACAGAAGGAATATTTTCAACAGGAAAAATTCAGGAATCTTAATATATGTACCTTGAAATAGAACACTGTAGGCACAACACCCATTAAAAGTCAATATCTCAATTTGTACAAAACTAGCTCAAACAATACATGTTTAAAATTACTCTCAACCAGCCTTCAACATACACATATGGAAAGGAAACATCACTTACCTTTAACACCTTGGCTCCAACCAACAGTTTTTTTTCTTATATCTTACCTGCTATGACGCATCCAGTTGTCAACAACACGACAGCTGACGTAGTTTTTCGAGACGGAAAGCCTTTTTTAAGCACAATCACAGACAAAAGCATGGTAGAAAGTGGAACACATCTCTTAAGCACACCGTACATCGCAATGTTCATGTGTGAAAGAGCCGTCAGTGCTAAAACAGCATTGGTCCCATAAAAAAACGAGGGTGCCGCAAATGACAAACCCCTTTTTAGGGTGAATGCCTGCAGTTCAATGATCCGGAATATGCTCAACAACTCCAGTACCACGATAGTAAAAATCATCTGAGCCACCATGATAGTCACTGGATAATCAAAGTCGAGAGTGTCCATCAGAGCTTTGGAGACAAACGCAGAGGAAACAGAGCATACGCCATAGAACACAGCAGCCACAATGCCTTTGAAGGCCGTCTCCAAGCTGCGACTGTCCTCAGAACTTATCTCCAGGATTACTGTTTTACTTTTATCCATGGTGATGAGCAGGCCAGGATAACAAATATATGCCAAAGATATCTGAAATGAGAAGGAAAAAAAATACTGATCAGTTGAAGGAGATTCTGCTGGCTTTCAAGTCTCTCTATTGCTGGTACAGATCTCTCATCGTGTTACAGCATAGCAAAAAATAGATATAGATCTATATATCCAACAGCTACGTAAACCCATTAAAACAACTATTTTTTTTTTAATTGATCACTTGAAAACACAGAAAGAAAAACAAGAGAGCAGCTTGTTTAAAATCTTAGTCCTAGCTTTCTCTATTGTTGAAAAACATCCCTGCTATACAACTATAGCAGATAAAGAGACACATGGAGAAACATTTATATTCTCTAAAATAAGTCATTTCAAATCTTCCAAAGCATATGTTTTCACAAGAAAAATTTTTTTTAATAAACGAGAGAGAGAGAGAGAGAGAGAGAGAGAGAAAGGGGGGAGAGAGAGAGAGAGAGAGAGAGACAGACAGACAGAGAGAGAGAGAGAGAGAGAGAGAGAGAGAGAGAGAGAGAGAGAGAGAGAGAGAGAGAGAGAGAGAGAGAGAGAGAGAGAGAGAGAGAGAGAGAGAGAGAGAGAGAGAGAGAGAGAGAGAGAGTGAGAGAGAGAGAGAGAGAGAGAGAGAGAGATCAAAACCTACCTTAAGAAAATAGTTGAAAAGTTGACGCTACACGCAGCATGTAGTTTACATTTATATGCTTTTGTCTGTGATTGTGCTACAGCATAAAATATTTAGAATTATTTCCTGGGTTTGCTAAACAATACACAAACTCTTGATATTTGTTAATCTATCAGACAAAAAAAAATACTTTACAATTTCCTCTCAGATAATTGTTTTAAACACCTGGCCTATTTCACACTGCACTTATTATTATGGAACTAATGCAAAGTGTAGCACAGCTTTAACACTTTATGGCTATTGGACTATTGATCTCAAGGCTGTTCTCGTGTTTAGATTTCCTCCCCTTCCTGTTGTTGCTATAAAACACTATGAGCAGAAAGGAAGGAAAGGGTCTTTTTCTTTTTGCGAAACAGTAAAAAATCTTAAAACACAGGTTTACAACTGCCTAATTTTTCATTAACAATATTATATTATAACATAGCTATTACATTATAGATTTTCTTAGAGCTTCCATTTTTCCTGATTATGGCAAGCTGTCACACAACAAAATACATTACAGTATGCAAAAACAAAATAACTCTTAACTGTTCTAGTAAATTAATATGTGGCATAAAATGCATTTTCATACAGGTATTAACTTTTATTAAGAGATTCCTAACACAATGCAGAAAACTGCGATTGTCAAACTGGCTTAAAAATTAATGAACATGTGTGTACATAAAACATAGTATTATAAATATATATGTATATTATATTTATAAAAATTTCTATTAAAAAAATAGTCACACAGCGAGCCTGGCCAGGCGTTCACTAAAAATATAGAACGCAATAAAAACTCATGAACGGTCATAATAAAAATGAAACTTGAATAGTTAGAAACATTCTATAAAAACATTCGCTCTCTATAAATAGAACAACATTTCCATTCTCTCCGTCTTTGTCTTTCTCTCTCTCTCTCTCTGTCTCTCCCTCTCTCTGTGTGTCTCTCTCTTTCTCATTCCCACACACTATTTCTTCAGTCTCTCAGTCAGGCATACACATGCATGTATAACAGTATCGTTTTGACAGGTATGCATTTGTGAATAGAAATGCTTCAACTGTTTGTGGAAAATGTGAATGGTAGAGGCACTTTTTATTTTATATGGGAGTTTGTTCCATACATGGAGACCAAATAAAAAAGAACACTTGCGGTATGTTTTGTAATTTTGTTTTGGGGTTCTAAGAATTAGATTGTCAGTGGCTGATCTAATGGCTCAGGGTGGGTGATATAATTCCAGGAATTGTTTTAGATAAATAGGTGCAGTACATTTAAAACAGAAAAAGGCTGTTTTATATTTGATCCTTTATTTTACTGGAAGCCAGTGCAGTTCTTTCAGAATTGGTATTACATGCGATGATTTCCTTTGTTTCATTATCAATTTTGCTGCACTTGAAATTTTGATGGTTTTTCGGCTGTCAAACCGGATAAAATAGCACTACAGTAAAAAGATTTACTACCTTAAGCATCCATGAAATTTACACTAGGCCAAACATTACACTACTCATCCATCATTAACTACAGCATGCACATCTGGTGCGATATCAAGTGGGACAGATATATTGATCACTTGCGTATTATCAAAGGATCACAGGATACAATGTAACACTCTTCTCCACCTTTCTCGTCCTTGCCCTCAAGCGAACACTCAAATACGGTAGTAAAAAATAGGCACGATATGAAACTACCAGGGTCATAAACTGCTAGCCAGGTTTCTTGAACTCTTGCCTAAGGTCACCCATTGATTGAGTATTTTGTTACAGTTAAAAGAAACATTTTTAAACTCCAGCTGACCATCCTATTTTTTTATATTGGGCGGGTAGAGAGCACAGAGCACTTTGCCTCAATGGCTTTCTTTTTTTTTGGGGGGGGGGGGAGTAAACAGACACACATCAATACAATAACGGTCATTTTGTGCTGGGAAAGAGTAAGATTGTAGACAGACAGACAAAAACACCAGACGGAAAGAAAAAAAGTAGGACCAGCCATTGGAGCCCTCCTACCACTTGTGTTTCTATTGCCAAAGAAATGACTAGCTTGTAATGTGTGCACATCTTTAGATATCTTGATTTTGAGCAATTTCACACCTAATCTAATAGCTGGATTTATGCAAACTAGCATGCTGACATTGGTGACAATTTGCCCCTCTATTTCTTACAAATTGCTGAAACCAGTGTTTTCTTGGTATGAATGTAAAGCCTTACTTGACCATCTGATTGAACTAACATTAAAAGCAATTGAAAAGTTTGTTACATATGCAATTTTCCTCATCTTTTTTATTGCCAGTCCACTTGACCATATATCTACAGTGATAATCTGTTCTCCAATAAATCCCAACTTAGAGACCATGGCCTACCTGTGCTTTGTCAATTGGTTAGGGTTAAGGTTCCGGTAAGGATTTGAGTTTGGGTTTGGGAGGTTAGGGTAGCCAGACTGCACAACATCGTTATCAAGGGAAATTATTCTGCAGCAACTGTAACTAGATATGCTTTGCCAGATCACAGGATTGTCTGAATCTCTACAAAATACGGGTGGGGAGGTGGGATGGGCAGGAAGGAAGCCAATCAGTGACAAGAAGACAAAGCGTATGTATTCTGCCATAAGCCGACAGAACGCCTTTTTAAAATTTTGGCGCCATTTTTTTTAATTTGCTAAATTGAAAGTCTGATCAGTTACCCTACTTGTGTGAAAAAAGCAAAATGAAACCGATACTAGTTTTTTTACCAAATTACAATTCAAATTTCTGAATAATTCTATTTTTAAATGGTTAGCTGTGACATCCCGAGTGTCAAACTTGAGGGGCGCTCCGTCATTCCAGAGAGAAATAAAAGGCCAGTCGGTGCACAACAACACTTTTCAATCACGGATTAAAGATACTCTAAGAAGCCTTTTGATTTTGATTTCTTTTTCATGTGATTTGCCTATCACTAAAATGTACTCGTAGGGATTTGTGTTTGGTTATCTATAAATAACCCAGATATTGAGATAATCTCATAATAATGCAAAGAGGGCCTTTTTTCACGGTGAGACTGTATGGGAGAGTAAAATTCAGAAAAAAATAAATGAGATGGACTTGATAATCACTTTTTAAAATAAAATACATAATTTCATTGAAATCTTTTGCAGTGCGTCGCCCAAACAGTATGTCTAGATTTAGCACCGCTGACAATAAGGCACTCGTATCGGCCCTCTGGAATCAGGAATGTGACTGGGAAGCTACTTGAAGCCTCAACTGAAATTCTAGCACACACCTTCAAGGCTGGTTGAACGGAAAAGAACTACTGTCGATGTTGTTGAGATGAGAGTATTTAAAGTAGTCACCCAGGCATTACTACCCACCAACAAGACCGGCGAAATATTCTGACCCATTTGCGAACCGATGCCAAATAACATGTGCAAGAGCAGCAGCAGGGGATCATGGAAGATGGGGTGCTGTGTAACAAAACACCATTGTCAATCAACGCCAATTTTAGGAAATATTGTGAACATTTAAAATAACGAAGTGTATACAGACCCGGTAACCGGGAACTAAGTCACGAAGTATACAGACCTGGTAGGGGAACTCTTTTGTGATTTCGGAAAGTTTCAG